TGAAGATTTTCCTAACTGGAGTAGATACAAAAATGGAAATATCCATAAATGGGAAAAGATTATCTAAATGTTCACAGTTCTTTCATGGAAATCAATCATCTATAACTTGTAGGAGCTCTTATTAATAGAGAAGCTAGTATTATAATAAAATTATAAATTAAACATATTGGCTGTCCTTGAGTCTGAATGTAAGGCAGATTAAAATTTCTGAAGAACCATTGGGGAAATGCCTCCATCCATATTAAAAACTGATGGTTTTGTTTATTTCCTAAAGATTTTATACAGGTTTTCTTTTCTTTCTTCCATATAGCAGTATACTCTCCCCGACTTTGGGGTAGCCCTGTTAATTCTAATATTCTTTTAAAATGAACATTACAGTTGAATGAAATTTGCAGTGAAGATGAATGTTTTGTAGAATACCAATTTACTCTATTTTCTTATGGGGATTGCTCTACCACCTAACCTGTGTGTGATTCCCCCTTCCCCCAAGTGAAATTGTTTTTACCCAATGGAACTACTAATTTTTGTTCTTACTTTTTAAATGACCTTAACTTCAGTTTTGAAACAGACTGGTTTCAAGCTTTTGGCAGTTGCTAGACCATCAGTACACAGTACAATCATCTTTTAAACTCTAGGTGTAAATGAGAAAGCATCCAGTGGGTGTTTGAATCTGATTAGACTGAGTAGTCCCTTACTAACAATACTGGATTATTGATTCCTTTGGAATTCATGTTCTTTATTCTTCTGCAGTTTGTCAAGAGCTATTTGAGATGCTGACTGTATCCTAAGCACTATATTAGGTACTTCAGTAGAAGGAAAGGGGAATAAAACTCAGAGCCTTTCCATCAAAGACCTCATAGCTTAGTAGAAGAAGCTCGTACATAAAAATTATCTTTCTATATGTGTTTTTAAAGGTAAAAACATGCTGGAAGGAGTCAGTGGAAAGATGCCTTCTAATTATTAGAATTAGAGGAGGCTTCATGGATTGGGGGAGTGTGGCTGCAGGGGTAGACAATTTAAGACAGAACCTTATGAGCCAAAGATGGAAAATGGAAAAGTATGAGGTCTGCTTAAGAA